TGGTCATGACGCCGCTGCAGTGACCGCTTGTATTATTTACTAATCTGAATATCGCCATAAAGACCAACAAAGAAGAAATCAAGGGTACGCTGTGCTGATCACATTGGCTGTATTGTCGGAGGCCTTGGACACCTTGCCCCCCATCTTGAGACTTCTTGTACGTTGCTTTGAATTGTCGGTCTTCCGCTTGTCTTCCAGTCGGTTGGTTTGCCCACTTGTCATTCCAGTCCAAGACTCTAGAATCCTAGAACTTTATATAGGATTGGAGCGAAGATGTCCTCTCCGGGTTCTCTGAACTTCTTGACTACGAAATCACGACATTTTACTTTGGACAGCAATCCTTGCCTTGGCTTCAGACAGTCTTCTCCCGAGTATGACACCTTCCAGATGAAGAAAGGACTCCACTCTCCCTGTCTCTGTTTGCTGAAGTCTTTTTATACCGGCTCAGAGTTTTTTCTTGGCTACTCTGGTCATCGGTCTGATAGGCCAAGTGTCCCAACCTAGGAGTCATATTTCATATTACCCGTGCTTTGGGAGTCAATACCGTGTTTCTGAACTATGCCCGTTACTGGAGTAGATTTTCCGTGAGATCGTTGGACTGGTTATCTGACACCCGTTTATTGCCGAACTGCATTTTCTGGGTTGCATTCTGTATAGCTCAACGAAATGGTTGTACCCCTTCCCCCCTTTATGTGTCAATCTGCGAATGAATTTACATATAGGGGGTACGTAAAAGGCTCGAAGTGATCGATGCGTTGACGCATGGAATTACTTCGCAAAAGAAACTCATACGCCCTCTGTATTGGATTTCTCTTCTCATCAGGCGCCCATTAACGTGTGGCTTCGACCTATTCCTGAGCTAGCCGGACACAGACAATTTTAACACGTGGTTACAATTTTTTTATATGTCTTATATATTTTGCGTATTTTATTTGTTTATTCAAAATTGTTGATTTTTCTTTGGATCTTCCTGCCTGTAACATCAGAAAGTATTCCACCAGACAAATTAATCCCATCGTGGGATTAGATCTATCTAGGGCACGCATCATCCGGCGGATCTGGGCGCTGAAGCGTCTATCATTCTCTTGATTGAGGGCGAGTTTTAGTCGGAACTTGTTTAACCTTTCGTGGTACCGGAACAACTGCTTCCGACCCTCCTTGATGAAATGTGTCTCTGAGTGTATAGGCTGGCAATCGCGAGTCGTCGGCCTGTCATTTCTAACTTTAGTAGTCGGAAGTGGAGCGCTTTGAGTTTTTCTTCTCCTTGCTCCACACTCTGCTGGAACTCCCCGATGCACTCCAGCGTGGATTGCGGCTGTGAGGTTACTTTCTGGAGCTGCGTTCGGACTAATGTGGACTGTTTCGTAGTCTCTTTGATTTCCGTCATGATTGCGGGGTAGCATTCTAGTTCAGTTATACTGTAGTTTCTCTGTGCCTTGTTTAGTTTTGCGGCACAGGTGTTGCTGCCATGTTGTTCTTTAGGGACTCAAACGTCTGAAACCCAAATTTCTTACACGTTAATTCTTAATACAGTCATGAATTCCAGTCATGCCTACAAACCTTCGCATTTTTTTAGCGGAATTTGGCCTGGGGAAATCGCGTATTTTCTGTATTCTTGCATCATCCGTGCTGATGCATTCCCTCCTACAGCGTACCCCAGGAACTCCAAGTTTTTGGTTTCGCCTTCCCATTCCACCGGTAGTGTAATAACCCCTGACACTCTGATTTCGTTGCCGCTGGCGGTGACCTTTCTTCCTCCAGTTTTATTATCGGCTGTGGTCTGTTTTTCAAGAATGTTTTGCCCCCTTTTCAATGCAATTCCAACTACCACCGGTATCCAGTAAGACCAGTATTTCTTCTCCATCAATCTTAGTTTTGGCAAAGAACCGGTTTTCTTGTGGTATATTTATCACTGTGTACACGACGCTCCGTCTAAGACGTTGGTGTTCGGTTCTGCTTCCATAGAGTTTTTGAGTTTTGTGGGCAGCCCTTCCTCGGCGCCGTTGACACTGAGTTCTCGTGCCAATGCATATTCCTGCTCTCGTTGTTCTAGTTGTTCTAGGAGTGAGTGCTTCCGCTTGAGCTTGAGAACAGTTACGGGTTTGGCGAATTCCCGGCCCGCCTGGTTGCCCCGATCTGGCCTAGCGGCCTCCGTGAAAAACACGAGTGTTTAACGTCATTACATGGCTTCCGGCAAAAACTTCAAGTGACCTCATGGAATCGTGACATATCCCGCTTCATATCCCTAGTGGGTGAATAGTAGTCAAAATCCTCCGCTCGATCCTCCATTATACCATTTGCCAACCATTGCCAATAGCATTTGCTTGCTGCGCCGACCAGTAGATTATGGAATTCTCTGAAAACTTGTTGCCGACTTATTCCATATAATTCTTGTAACCTTTCCACACGGAATAAGAAACTTTCAACAGTCATACCGCGGACGGTTCCGTCGAATTTCAAGTTCCATTTATCTAGCCGAACCCCCTTTGGTACTCGACCTTGAAATGATATAATCCGATCTAATTCGGGGTGAAATTGATGACTGGTCTCCCTCCACTGGTACGCTTTGTATGTTCTGTGGAGTAGCCGTTCGTCTAGGCTCCCTCAATAGATGCATTTGGCTGTTAAAACACTCTTGCGACACTGGTTCTAGTGGCGGGGTGTCTTGATTTCTTAGAAAGCTATCCGTGGGGTCTCTTGGTAGCCCAGGTGGTGGTGCCATTCCTGGTTACTCCGTAAAGGCTTGCAACTCAGCCACTTCCTTCTTCAAAGCGTTTATTTGAGCGCTCATTTCCGATTGCGTCTCTCTTTGCCTCACTAAATACATATATCACTTCGCGTTCCCGCCGGTCAGCAGCATCCGACCGGTCTTCCGAACTTGCCTAGTACCGCGGAAGCACGCTGAAGCGACCTCTAGGAGGTCCTAGTGGTAGATCCATCCCTCCTGCTGCTTCATCTATTTCGTTGCCCATTTGGTCTGTCAGGTGTCCTACCTCTTCCGGATGGTTTTCGAAGTTCTCGAGACTCTCTTGATTACGTGCCGTGATTAGTGTCTCCCGGGCTTGCACGTGCACGTCTCTCTTCTTGCATGCGTGACCGGGTGGTTGGAATAACACTTTCTTTTTCGCCCCCTTTATTTATGTATGTGGGTTTCTTTACTTTGGAATCGTTTTAGATATTCTGCGTGGTATGTAGCTAAATATATGACATGATCTATAATGAACATTGCTCACTACAACTTGTTATAATAAGATAATCGTCTGGGATGCTGTTTTGCGATTAACAGGTCTCTCCTCAGTCAAAGACTCTTCCGGTACTTAAGCCCAACAAACAACCCCGGAGATGTCGGTCGTTGCCCTGATATGGTTACATCCAGCCAACATGCCTTCATCTTCCACAGCTTAGGGCACTTTTACTAGGTTCATACGGGAACTGGCCCACCTCGTACAGTGGTTCCTATTGTTGGTGCGCTTTTACTAGGTTCATACGGGAACTAGCCCACCTGAAACAGTGGTTCCATTTGTTGGTGAGCTCTTACCAGGTTCATCCGTGAAGTTGCCCACCTAAGACAGTGTATGTCCAAAAACCCCCTCCCGCTAGTCGTTGGATAAGCTGTACAGTTGATACCGTCGGGATCTACTACCCGCGGTAGTTTGACCTATACATTCGGACTCCGCACCAGTTTTCCTATTTTCCAGGTTTTGAGCCACACAAACGACCTGGCTACTTGGCCTAGTACGTCGGCAGCGTCGGCCAAAGAATCTAAAATCGTCCCCCGCCCAAAAATGCTCATGGAAAGCCGTAAAGACTCGATCCGCTCAAACGACCCGGCTCCTTAGCCTAATACGCCGGCGGCGTCGGCTTTACGTTTTTTGGTTAGTTCCCCCAACCCCTCTGTACTGGATCGACAAACAAACGATATATCCGCACCGCACCGCTTAATGCGTTACCATTATTACCATTATATCTGCGCTCCTGCTTTTTCTTGGACTCGAGCCTCTTGAACGACCTGGCTATTTGGCCTAATACGTTGGAAGCGTCAGCAAAAAAAAAAAAGCAATAACCAATTATATTTACGTTAATAAAAAAAAAAAGGTCAGTATAATGATAATATAATTATCAGTATAATTATAACAAGGAAACCTCCCATATTTTTGAATGATGTTCTTCGGGATAGACAATCATCGCCATAAACTTGTTTCATCAATTGAAACGTTTCGGTAAAAGTTTAACCAATTTTAAAACAAAATTTAATGTTGGCTCTTGGTTCGAAGCTCATTTTCGCACCGATGACAAAAACACAATATATAAAACGCAATAAATTCAGTTCCAATAGATGAAACGTTTTGAAATTTTTACTGGAAGTCGAATACGGATGGCAGATTCTAACGCATTAGAGCGCTAGATTCAAAAACTCCTGTTTACTTTGGAACCCACCTTGTATAAAATAAGCGATTTGGCAACGCTTCAAGCGTCTTCGTTCACTCAGAATGGGTCCACTCGAAAACAGATTCAAATTTGAATTCAAATTTAATTCGTCTCGATCGTGCAGCCGAAATGCACACTACCACTATCAGACTGTGCACGAACAACAATTGTTCTAGCCAGCTGAGTCTAAAATAAATGGTCTTTCGCGTATCTTAAACACGTCCACATCAGAAAACTGCATACTCAAAACAATTTTCACAGAATCTTTGTATCCATTAGCTTAATGATTCGAAATCCAAAAATATGTGTGTCTTGCTCATCATTTTGAAAGCGAAACTAAGATGTTTCTTGGCATATAAAGTGAAATTATAAGTGTTCTTTTCTTCTTGTTTCGGTTCATAAGGCTTTAGCTCGAATTCTCTAATTAGCATCTGAAGAGTACAAAGCGCTATGCCAGGGAACCGTCCATTTGAATGGAAATGACCGGAAAAAACAAGTTTTTTTTTTTAATGATAAAGTAAGAGAAAAGTGAGAGACGATACAAAAAAATATTTTTTTTTTTTAATTTACAGTCATGCGACGCAATGCTTCGTGACTCAGAAACTAAGGAGCTGACCAAGAAAAGCTTTGATTTGGTCATATTGGATGGAGCTTTCCCAGAGTGCTTTTTGGGATTAATGTACGACTTAAAGATTCCATTTATGTACATTAACACGGTGGGCTTCTATACAGGGAGTATCTCGAATGCAGGCAATCCCGTTAGCTACTCTATTACTCCAAACTTCTATTCTCGATTTACGGACACAATGAATCTTTACGAACGGGCTATTAACACGGCCATGCAGATAGGACAAACATTGATGCACATGGTGAGAGGAATTCATATCCTAGCCTTATATTAACTAATGACCATTACTTTAATTTTTACTATAGTATGTAATGCGTCGGACACACCTTGTGATGCGACAGCATCTGGGTGCTCAAATCCCGCATCCCTATGAAATGTCGCGCAACGTGAGTTTCATTTTGCAAAATGGACACGCAGTTTTGTCTTATCCTAGAGCCTTTAATCCAAATGTAGCAGAAGTGGCTTGCATTCACTGTAGGCCAGCTAGAAAACTTCCTACCCACCTTGAGGAATTCATCGGTGCTTCTGGATCATCTGGATTCATTTATGTTTCTATGGGTTCTTCAGTAAAAGCCGCGAACATGCCAGAGGCGTTGAGGAACATGCTTGTAAGGACCTTTGCACGTCTTCCGTATCATGTGCTATGGAAGTATGAAGGAAGTTCCACAGATATAAAAGACATCACATCAAATGTAAAACTTTCACGATGGCTACCGCAACAGGACATTTTGGGACATCCCAAGCTTAGAGCGTTTGTAACACATGGAGGGTTGCTTAGCATGTTTGAGACGGTATTTCACGGAGTACCCGTAGTTACAATGCCGGTATTCTGCGACCACGACGTTAACTCAGCCAAGGCCGAAGTCGATGGGTATGCCATAAAGCTAGATCTTCAGACGCTGTCAGCCAATCAGTTGTACAAGGCTATTATGAAAGTAATTCACGATCCTCGCTACAGAAATTCAGCGCGATATCGGCAAAAGCTCTTTCTGGACCAGCGCTCAACCGCGTTAGATACTGCAATATACTGGACCGAATATGTGCTGCGACACAATGGCGCTTATCATCTACAGACTCCCTCCCGAAATATGACGTGAGTTCAGATAATTATTTTTTTGTTACCATATTAATCCTTTTTCCTTTTAGATGGTGGCAATACTACTTACTCGACGTAGTGGCCGTTTATTTAATTTTACTTTACGGCCTGTTTTCAGCACTGAAGCGCATTGACTTCCGATCCGAGAAGGTACGGAGTCTTCATTCCCTGATTTCTCCTATATTTACAATAGCAAAATCGAAGTCAAAGAAGATTTAACAGAACTAATTTATATCTCTATAGTGGGGTGCCTAAATAATAAGAAGAATACGTTGTGATTCAAAGCGTCAAACAAATGGATCGATTAGAAACTTTTGACTATTTCAAATATTGTATACAAAAATATTTTGTACAAACTTTGTTAATTTTATAATTATTTAAAGAATTAAAAAAACGCGCATACAAAAAAAATTAAAAAGAAGTGCCGCGAAAATAGTAGAGTGCCGATCATTCTGCCGAAAATTGTACTTGATACTGAATTTTTTAGCAACTCTATGATAATAATAATTAAAGAGTTCTCAAAAATGTGAACTACACTTTTTTCGTAAAATGGGGTGTTTAAGTATTAAGAAGTTTCCTTTTTGATTCAAAGCGTAAAAAAAGGATATATTAAAAATTTTTGACTGTTCCAAAGATGGTATAATACAATTATGATTTACTACATAAATTAATGTATAACGGCCTATTTATCCTTTTGACACTGAATTTATGATTTTAATAAAAACTTGTTTTACTTAAAACTTCTTCGATCAGAAAATCTATATGTCGGCGTTAGAGTGGGCGTGGCAAAATGTTTTTTTGGCAAATCGATACAAATTTACAATACTAATAAAAAATTAAAAAATATACACATTTTTCAAAAGTGTGGGCGTTGCAGTTTTGGGCGGCTTGTGGGCGTGGCAACATCATTTAACAAACTTGCGCTGCGTCTATGTACAAACGGACCTTTGATCCTGATGAAGAATATATATACCGATTCTATTATACCCTTTTACTCTACGAGTAACGGATATAAAAATGGGAACTAATTTTCTGTTGAAACTAAATTCTGCAGCGAGCAAGCTTGCAGCGGCTATCTCAGAGCGCATCTCAGCGTGTTTGTTTGTTGCCCAAACAACAGAATAACCGAGGTTTTTAGATCAGTTTTTATTCAGCTATATTTAATTGATTGATTCACAGGTTCCTACCCAGTGTCATCGCAAGCAGCCTCTATTAAATGCAATGGTAAGGGTGTTTTTTTTTTAATTTTTGTTATAACTGGTTTTACCTGATAACTTAACAATATAAAATATGAGTTTGTCAACATATGTTGGAACCACTTTACATTATTGCAAAATACTTTTGCGGTGTACAAAAAGAACCACTGACGACTGACTTCTTCAATTCAGAAAATACCTCAGCGTTGCAGTTCCAGGTCACCGCTGCAGTTCCTTAGTGTGCTGCTTTGTCTTTTCACTCTCTTATGTGGACTAAGTAGTATTGTTTATAAGTTTTATGTATGTATAATGTGTTTATTAGTTGAACTAGACTGTGGTCTCAGTCTGGTAGACTTGTCGTATATCCTTTCTGAGCTCTGCTCCAGCATTTTCTTCTTTCGATTTATCCACTGCCATCTGCTCCTTGTCTGGTTCACTTTGAATTTCCTGCCTATCGATTAAATCAACACAACCTTTAAAGAGACGGCACAAGCACAGCTAGAGAGTTAGTCAGAGAGCGGTCGGACAAAAGGATGAAGATAACACAAGGTAAAGTTGTTACATACTGCAAAAAATACAAGGGATCACGAGGATTGAGCGCGACCTATTCAAATTTCTGGCAAAGTTTGGAGCGAATTCTTTGAAATTCGCCAGTCCTTGACAATTTTACGTCACCGTTTGCGAGTAAATTAAGTTTGCGCAACAGTTATAGTCATTACCGTGGGATATCATATGTTATATGATAGGGCGATATACAGATGAATTGATGAATCGAGTTACGAAGAGAACATTTGATGCTACTGAGGAATACGTCCCATTGGTGTTGGTCGGAGCGAATGTAAGATCTTGAAGCCGCATTAATAGAACGATTAACTCTCTCAGCTCCGTTGAATTGTGGAGCATATGCACCGGTAAATATTTGACGAATGCCATATTTCGAAAGAAAGTCAAAGATCACGGTTCTTAAATTGAGTTCCGTTGTCACTCACGACTGTTTCGGGTACACCATATTTGGCTAATAGAAACGCCGTCTTATGTGCTCTAAACATGTAGCCACCCTACAAGGAGCAGATGTTGGTTGATCATGAGCTTATTACGCTTTGACGTGAAGACTCAGGTACAAGTAATTTCCAGCAATCTGGAGTCTGGTAAAGCGTCATTACAATTGGGGAATGTTCTGCGATGGTAAATAAACTCATCCATGACTTTAAAATCAGGTAGTTTTAAAGACATGAAATTTTCTCTGAGAGCAGAGTACTCTCCTGACTGAAATGGTCTGGAAGATAGATAAATTTCGGGGCGGATTTCAAAATCTGTTGCAGCAATATCATCGATATCCTCGAACGATCGAGACAGAGCGTCCGCAACCACATTTTCGATTCCCTTGCGATGTTCGAATGAATAGCCCTAAGGTTTTATAGCAAATCTTGCCAATCCACCGCTTACATCTGATTGGTTCATTAGCCATCAAAGACTTGAGTGGTTGGTGACTGCTTTGAAACTACGACCGTTAATATATATTCTGAACTTTTTAATTGGCAGAACCACTGCCATGCATTCGAGTTCTTTAACTGTATAGTTACGTTGGGCTTTATTCAGCTTCTTAGAAATTAATCCTATAGGACGTTCACAACCGAAATTATCACATTGAGCTAGAACTACACCCACTCCGTGTAGTGAAGCATAATTAGGGTGAACTATACAAGGATCAGAGCATAACTTGTCTTTGATATTATCACTAGCTTCTTGAGCCTGATCATTTCAACTTATGGTTTGGCGCGTAATAATTCTGTAAGATGGAAAATGACTGTGGAATAATTAAATACGAATCGCTGGTACCAATCAGTCTTTAGCTGGCGAAAGAGGGCTTAACCGTTGTTTTATTGGTATCGAATTGGATGTGTCGATATTGTGCTCTATCAGATTAGTTAATCCTAAGCCCTCATCCTCGATCGACGGGAAAAAGTCTATTACGACGACAGTACAGTCTACTACTTTCTAAAATTTAGATTTTTGTGAATCAGACATGTTCACAGTTGACTTCGTTGACTGAAACTGTTTGCTTAATAGAAATCACAAAAGTATACCAGAAATCCATTCTGTATAGTACGCTTTACTTTATTGAATGAACTATTAAGAATTCAAAGTTATTGTCAATTGAGTTGTAAGTCAAGGGAATTTGTATAGTAAATGCACCATTTTGCGTTTGGTCGTCAGCAGTTCGTACAACCGATTTAAATTTATTAAATGGCTTAACTGATATTATATGTTGTGCTAGCTCACCACCTATAACGCTTTTGTTGGCGCCATTGTCCAGGGGAGCTAAGTCCGATTGACCAAATATGTCAATATTTGTGAAATATTTTGTCAATTATTATGTCAATATTTTGTCGAATATCGTTTTTGTTATGAATGATTGATGAGCCGGTAAATCGGTTGAATGATCGTTTACGAATCCAAAATTTGCGAATTCGCCGTGATGATCGACGTTTTCGGTGATGAATAAAATCAGATTTAAATATTTGAAAAAGCAAATGCTATGCATTGAATGTTTGGGTTAATGATACGTCACGTTGAGTTGAAGGCAATTTGGAATGAACATCATTTGAAACAGAATATGGTTCTGTTTGTGTTTTCGAGGCTAACGACGGACATCCGCTTTGTTCGCACAAACAATGCCCTGTTTGGAGTTTACCGAGGTTGAAATACATTTTGAGCAGTTGGGCTTATACACCTCCGGTGTTCCACAACCATAACAGAAAAACACGGCCTCTCCTCCGTGTACCTGCCTCCCACGGAATTTGCAGCTATGTGCGTTAACCGCTAACGGTGCTTGCAGCTAAATACCTTCCCTGTCCCGCTCTCGCGCTCTAACGGGCCTGTGTTTTAAGCAATTCTGGTCTTTACTCTGTTGTTATTCTCTCCTTTACGCTGTAACGAACTGTTTTCCTTAGTTTTGCTCGCTACGACTCAGAGGCTAGCTCAGAGAGTTTGTGTGATTTATTTATGATTTGTGCGATTGCCCGACCAAACAGAAGACAGAGTTTAGGTTAGAACAGCTTTTTTTGTAGACTTCTTCTATGACAGATTCCTTTGGTCCTCGCTGTCGGCTGCGCGGTGTCGCTCTCTCGTTGTCCTTCCTTTGCTTCACGACCGTGTCGGCTCGAATGGGGCTTAGGATGTTATGGTGGGGAGGTGTATCGCCCGTTAGGTCAAGCTGAAGCTCTTAACCGGTCGGCTCTTCACCGACCAATGACTCCACTGTACCTTCTGTACGTTCTAGGGTCTTGTCGATGGCGCTGTCGATGCCCTTCGTTGTCCTGCGGCGTCCTCGACCGTGGTCCCGTGTTTAGGATTGGGGCTTAGGATGTTATGGTGGGGAGGTGTATCGTCCGTGAGTTCGGACCACCTTGACCGACCAATGACTCCACTGATCCTTCTGATCGCGCCTGGTTTTCCACTCTCAGGGACCGTCCTCCTGCGCCGCTCGCGTTCTCACTGAAAATTTACTTGTCCCGGGGCACAGCTCCTTGCGTACTCTTACGTATTCTCCCTGACTGCGGGGATCCCATTATTTCCCCCTTTTGCGCACGGCCCGCTCGGGTACAAGGTCCAACCCAGATCCCGTTAGTTCACGGTGCGTCCTCTTTGTGCTTGTTTAAAGTCCGCACCGTTACCGTTTGACCTCTGTGCCCTTGGCCGGCTTGAGTCCAAGGTCCAGCGCGGTACCGTTATTTCACGGTCTCTTCGCTTTGCTCGGGTGCAAGGTCCATTATTTCTCGTTTGACCTGGTTGCCCTTGACTCCTTCTATATTCCAGCCTTCTTTGCAGTTGCTAGGCAGCTCCCCTGCACCTCGACCACATCTCCTTCTTCATTCGGAAGTTTTTTGAAAAGATGGAGCTTCCGGCGGTCCTCCGCTTTGGTGTTTCCTCGCATAGGCAGTTTCCTCGTCTCTCCTCTCGTCGACCCTGCGAGTTTTGTTCTCAGCCTGGCAGTCTCAACCTAGTAGACCCCATCGTTTAGCGTCTTGACTTGGCATCTCGAACCTCAACGCGCCCTTCTCCAGCTTCCTTCATCTGCTGCCGTCTGCTCCTCGTCACCAGCTCCGTATTTAAACTTCCCGCCTCCTTTTGAATTCTACACCCTTGCGTATCTGGCAACTCCACCGAACCTCACCATGATCGGTCGGCGTTGCCCCTTCCTGTTTATGTCAA